GAAGTATAAGGACACAGGGGCACGGCCTCCTTGGTTTATTACTCGTTGGGTATAGGGGGCGGCGTCCGAACCGGCGCGGAGACCTTGGCTCGGCAAAGGCGGAGGCTATGGGGGCTTCCTGGGGGCCTCCCGGCAGGGTATAGTGCTGTACGCAATGTCGCCGGCCACAGGGGATCTCGTCCACAAGCCCTGCCCGCGTTTTGCTGGCGCGGGCCGTGCCGTCACCGCACGCCAGCGCCCGGCCACCGTTGACCCCGGCTGAAGCCTGGCTCCCGCGCTTCGCTTGCCGGGCAGCCCGGGAGGCTGGCTGGAGCACATTGTGCAGGAAGCACGTGTCCTGCGTTCTGCCTCCGTGAAACCTACGGCTTTCAGAAATTACCGTATTAGCACAGCTGTTTGTTCCCCCCAAATGTCAACTCCCCAAGAGCATCCTGTCCCCCGGATCCAAAAATGCCTGGCCACAGAGGCCCTAGTGATTTGCCGAGTGACTGACTGACCTCCATGAGCTTCCATCTCTGTCTCAGGACCTTTTTACACTCAAAAATTACTAGGATCTCAAGAGGCCTTTGATTGTGGAGAATATATATTTGTTAAGAAATTAAAACAAAAAAATTTTTTTAATATTTATTTGTATATATTTTTACAGACTTTGGGCGGGGGGAGAGATTGATTGAGATTGGTTGTCTCCCGCACACACCCTGACCAGGGGTGGAACCCACAACCTGGATATGTGCTCCGACCGGGAATCAAACTCGCCACCTTCTGGTGTACAGGATGACGGATGCTCCAACCAACGGAGCATGGACCAGAGCAATGTATTAATTCATTTAAAAATAATAAATGTGGAGAGCAGCTACAGTGTTTGGACAGGTTCAAGCCTCGAACTGATGAGAGGGCACAGTCCTCTCCTGGCCACGTGCAAGTCCCAGCTTGGAGGGCAGAGCCCGCCCAGCACAATTATAGCCAAGGGCTGTAGTTGTGAGCTTGAACCTATGGTCCAAACCTGTGGCCCCACGTGCCTGAGTGATGTGGGCTTGATAGCGTTCAGGTGCATGTAGTTGAGTAGGATCGAAACCCACGAGAATGTTGTAAACATCTTGACCACGCCCTTACTTTGCCTCGTGGAATCTGCTATAAAATAAAGACATGGCTCGTAGCCCATGGCGCTGTGTCTCCATCAGAGGAGCAGCGTCCTGCTGAGACCCAGCTCATTCTCTTGTCTGTCTTTTCTCCATCCTTCACCGCCCCCACTCAGGTTCACCCTTGGCCAGCGCGGCACAAATAAACCCATTACAAATTATCTTAAGAGCAATGACCGCGCATATCCTGTAGCTTCAGGAAAACACTGGAGAGAGAGAGAGAGAGAGAGAGAGAGAGAGAGAGAGAGAGAGAGAGAGAGAGAGAGAGAGAGATATGAGAGAAATAGCTCTGAGTGTTGTTATGCAAATAGTCCTGACCTCTGAAAGGTTCCCAGGAACCCTGGGGCCACTCTTTGAGAACCTTTAATTTAGCTTAACCTCCTCCTTTTATATGTAGGAGGAATGAGGTCCAGAGAAGAAATGGTGACAGTTTTGAAGTCAGGAGTCTATTGTTAGCCCAGGGTCATATAATTACGTTTTCCGTGCAAAGCAGACAACATCTCTGTTTAAAAGATAAGACAGCGGAGGCACCGAGAGCCTCAGGAGTCACCTGACCACCACCATCTGATGGTGGACGCCTGCTGTGTCCGGGTTGGTATTCAGAGCCTCCCACCTCTTGTTGGGCCTCTCTCATCTCCTCGTCTACTGATGCCAGGCCTTGTGACCGAGTGGGGGCTAACCGAGCTCAAGGAGTCTGGCAGAGAAGACAAGGATGCATAAATACATAAAAAACATAAATATGGACACAGGGTCGCATTGGACTAGATCAGTGATGGCGAACCTATGACACGCATGTCAGAGGTGACACACAAACTCATTTTTTTGGTTGATTTTTCTTTGTTAAAATGGCATTTAAATATATAAAATAAATATAAAAAATATAAGTCTTTGTTTTACTATGGTTGCAAAGATCAAAAAATTTCTATATGTGACACGGCACCAGAGTTAAGTTAGGGTTTTTCAAAATGCTGACACGCCGAGCTCAAAAGGTTCGCCATCACTGGACTAGATGCTATGTGTGCTGCCCATTCAGTGTGCTGCTCATTGAGGGACAGGGTGTTCCTGAGGCCTGATGCATAAGGGAAAGTCTCCTGGAGGCAGCGAGGAGGCCAGGAAATGAGTGAAGAAAGCAAACCTCCGCGGCTGTCAGCTGGAGCAGCCAGTAGTGGCGGCAGACATGAGTCAGACCCCACCAACTTTATGAGCCAGACAAGAACCCCTATAGACAAACTCAGATGAACCACAGTACATGTTCTGTTCATATTAAGTGACCACATAGCTGACTAGAGATGGCTATAAATGCTAGATAACTAATAAATTAAAAAAAGAAGGCTGGAACCAGATGAGGATAGAATGCAGTTTGAAAGAGAAAAGGAGCCAAACTCACATGAAGGAATGAAGGATTAGAGGATGGTGAAGGTCAAGAAATGTACATGCCTGTGCAATGAAAAAAAGCAAGTACTGTTAATAGACTGTCCAGAAATTCCTATATATGTACAGGCAAACACATAATACATGAATTTACTTAACATTTTTTAAATTGTGGCAAAATACACAAAACATAAAGTTGACTATCCTAACCATGTTTAAGTTCACAGTTCAGTAGTATTATGTATACTCACATTATTATGCAACCAATCTCCAGAACTTTTTCATCTTCTAAAACTGAAACTCTACACCCATTAAACAACTCTCCATGTCCCCCTCCTCCCCTTGGCAATCACCGTTCTACATTCTGTTTCTGAGCCTGGCTACTCTAGGTATCTCATTTAAGTGGAATCATATAGAACTTGCCTTTTTGTGACTGGCTTGTTTCACTTAACATAATATTCTCAAGGTTTATTCATGTTGTAGCAATTCCTTCCATATGTCAATTTCCTTCCTTTTTAAGGTTGAATGCTATTCTATTGTATGAATGTTCAACAATTTGCTGGCTCATATCACATCAATTAATTGTTGTTGTTTTAAGATTTTTAATTGATTATTTATATGTTTTTATTGATTTTAGAGAGAGGAAGGGAAAAGGAGAGGTAGAAACATTAATGATGAGAGAGAATCCTTTGATCAGCTGCCTCCTGCAGGCCCCCACTGGGGATTGAACCTGCAACCCAGGCATGCGCCCTGACCTGAAATAAAAAATGACTTCCTGGTTCATGGGTCGATGCTCAAACACTGAGCCACACAGCTCAGGCTCAATTAGTTTTTGTGTGTGTGGTTTTTAAAAACATATACTTTTATTTTAGTATATGTGCTGTCGAAGAGAGCACAAAACATATACTTTTATTGATTTCATAGAGGAAGGGAGAGGGAGAGAGAGATAGAAACATCAATGATGAGAGAGAATCACTGATCAGCTGCCTCCTGCATTCCCCCTACTGGGGATCCAGCTCGCAACCCAGGCATATGCCCTAGATCGGAATCAAACCTGGGACCCTTCGGTCCACAGGCCAATGCTCTATCCACTGAGCCCAACCGGCTAGGGCTCGTTTAGTTTTCAATATGAATTTTTCACATGTATTATTCTGTAGCCTGTTTTTTGTTTGTTTGTTTTGTTTAATAGTACTACTATGACATCTGTCCACATAAACACTTATATATCTACATTATTTTTAATGGCTATGTAGTATTCCACCACATACTTTTCCTGTGATTTATTTCCGAGAACCCTTTGAGACACATTTAATTTTTTATAATGTATAATAAACAGTGCTGCATATATTTCCTTGCACATGTGTAAGAGTATATCTGTAAAACAAATTTCTAGAAGTACAATGCCTGGGTCAGAGGTTGTATATTTTTCATTTTGGTAGACATTGCCAAAAGATCTTTACAGAGGAACATAGACTTTACACTCCCAACCATGGATGTTAGTGGCAAATTTCAAAAGAGGTTGTTTTTTAAAGCAGGAATAATTTCTCAGAAGGCCTCACACACTGGATATAGAAATGGGAAAGACTTGTTATATTATTTCAGCTCTGATGCTCTATTGTTGTTTACTTGTAATGCATGGGGTCTTATCTTCCTAGCTAGATGTTAAGAGCCTCAAGGGTGGACATAATTTATTATGCCCAACCCCACTTCCACATTAGTTTGGTCCCATGAACTTGCCAGCACTTATTAGATTCATACATGGAAAAATGACAGTTTTTTAAAGTTCAAAATAAAGAGATCTTAAGTCTTCTTTTTTCTTTTCTATTTTTTTTTTTACAATAAACATGTATATTTATTTTAAATCAGTTTGGTACATTCTGTTTTTCTTGTGTAGCTGTTCAAAGTGAAATGCCTGTAGTCACTCAATTCTGACATCAACAATAATAACAGCCACTGATTTATTTTTGAGCATGTACTATGAAACAGGTATTGTCTTAAAATGCTTGGCATGTACCATCTCACTCAAAGATTACCAAATGAGAAAGCTATTACTCTTATCTGTATCTTCAGCGTTTCTCAACCTGTGGGTCGAGACCTCTTTGGTGGTCGAACAACCCTTTCACAGGGGTCGCCTAAGACCACCCTGCATATCAGATATTTACATTATGATTCATAACAGTAGCAACATTACAGTTATGAAGTAGCAACAAAAATAATTTTATGGTTGGGTCACAACATGAGGAACTGTATTTAAAGGGCCAGAAGGTTGAGAACCACTGCATTAGAGGAAAGTGAGGCACAATGAGTTTAAATGACTTGCCCAAGGACATATGTTAAAAATCACAGGTTTCCCAGAGAATTCTAATTTTTTTATTCTGAGGTCTGTGCTTTTCATTTCTGCACCATATTATCATGTCATATAAAATTCAACTTAATCTAATTTACCATCCATGCAATGATCAACCATACCTCTACCACTTTCCATGGAGCTATCTGAGATCTGAATTGGGGGTAAAGTGACTAGATGTTTCCTCATTTGTGTAAGATCCCCGTTTGGGGGATATTATCTTTTAGAAAGTGGTTATTATTTCCAAACATTCCTATTGTTCCCAACTACGGACATATTTATGAAAGAAGATTCTTTCTTAGATAAAAATCATGACTTTATTCAAATTGTAAATTTCACCTGCAAAAGAGAAAGAGCCCTAGAGAAGAATCACACCTATTTTTAGTAAGGCTTACTTGTGAAACCCAAATTTTAGAAAATAACAAAGCATGATAGGATTAAAACTATTTTGAACTTTCATACAATAGTCTTATAAAACTTTAGAACCTGAAAGAGGCTTGGTTATAGTGAAAAATGTTATCATATAAGAAGCAATATCTTTACATGTATGTTTCCTTGGCCATGGAAATAGCATCCATAAGAAAACATGGCATCCATATTCAGTTTTTCACCTGTAAAAGAATCAAGAAATCATACATTTAAAAACAAAAAAAAGGTTTTTTTGGTGCAATCACCCTTCATTAGAATGGAATGATGGTTTAGAGGACTGTTAACTTAGAACCAAAATTCTCACGATATTATCAAGTGCAAAATCTGCTGTAATAGTCTATCCCAGTTGAGTGTGCAGGGTCTATACAGCGCCCCCTGGTGGCTGTAACTAACCGGAACAAACATCCACAAACATCCAAGAGCATACCTTTTTCTTCCTTTTACGGGTAACATTAGATTTATTGCTACTTTTCCAAATAGATCTGAAGGTGTCCGAAGAGATCTGAGGAGTGACTGTAACTTTTAAGACTGGGAGTTTACCTGAGAGGGGGAAGAACATAGTAGTAAATGGATAGGATATCTCACAACTCTCCATTTCATGGACTGAGTCGTAGGCTTCTGAAAGGGACATTATCCCACATTCTTTTTTTTTTTAAAATATTTTGTTTTTATTGATTTTAGAGAGAGAATGGGGAGGGGAAAAGAGAGGGAGAGAGAGAGAGAGAGAGAGAGAGAGAGACATCGATCAGCTGCCTCCTGCATATCCCCACTGGGGATAGAGCAATTAGGGAATGTGCCCTGATGGAATCAAACCAGTGATCTTTCGATGCATGAGATAACACTAAACCAACTGAGCCACACCAGCCAGGGCTCCCACATTCTTATGGGAAACTTTCATCACACTTAATACCCTTTCCCTGTATCTTCTTGATGTGAGCGACCCGTGACAATGTATTTCTGTAATAACTCCCACTAGTCCTCTCTTTTCTTTTCCCACTGTTTATATGTTTTACCTGGTGGTTGTGATAGCCTTCTAACTGGACTTCCTAACTCCAGGTTTCCCAATGCCAAATTCATCCTGGACTCTACTTCCAGTTTAGTCATCTGAAGCGAAATTCTGATCCTGGTATTCATCAGCTCTTTATTTTTAGTGGATCTCTCTTGTTTTTATTTGTCCAGCTTCCATTTTAGCTTTCTTTCTTGAGTTTTCTTTGGGGTTTCACTCCCCTGCCCTTCAGGGGTGAGCACATAACTCAGAGCTGGCCACTTGGTGTATTTCTTCTCCCTGCACAGTGATTGTTAACAGGTGTGCATGTGACTCATTGTGGCCTAATGAAATCAGGAGAAAGGCTCTTTCTTGAGTTTAAACTAGCAGAATGTAAACTTCTGGCTAATGCTACCCAACTTGTCACTGTGTGGGAAGAATTTCCTGAGAATAAGGTCAACACAGATGCAGATCTTCTAGGAGATAGAGGTAGGTAGCATTATTTGAAGCCCTGAATCCAGCTGGACCTATAGCTAGAAACACCCCTGGACTTTTAGTTATATGAGTCAACAAATTTCCTGTTTTTTTAAAAAATATTTTTAAATTGATTTTAGAGAGGAAGGGAGAGGGAGAGAGATAGAAACATCAAGGATGTGAGAGAACATTGATCGGTTGCCTCCTGCATGCCCCCCACTGGGGATTGAGCCTGCAACCCCTGCATGTGCCTGGACCAGGAACTGAACCAAGACCTCCTGGTTCATAAGTCAACGCTCGACCACTGAGTCACACTGGCCAGGCTCAACAAATTTCCTTTTGTACTTAAATCACTTTGAGTTGGTTTTGCATCACTTGAAACCAGGAGTTCTCACTGATTTCCTATAAAGGCCTATGATATCATGATTTATAAGATGACCAAAATATATTTCTCATGTGTATTTGGCTTTAGTTCATGGTTGGGAGCTCCCAGCTCCCCAAACCCTTGGAATTTCCTGAGTAATAAGAGAAATGAGGACAGCTTTTGTTATAATATTTGGCCCCTTGTCCCAGTTCCTAAAAACTGCTTCAGAGCCATAAAGGTGAGATGGTGTCTTGTTATACATAACAAGCCCCTTTCAACCACAACTGAGTTTATATTAATGAGTTGACTTTTGGAAATCCCCTTTAAGAATGGCTGTTGGTTGCCAAAGGAACCAACCATGAACAAAAGGTTGGAACTTTCAGTCCCACCCCCTGACAGAGGATGAACCAATCACCAACAGCCAGTGATTTAACCAACCATATCTCTGTAATAAAGCCTCCATAAGGACCCAAAAGAATGGAGTTCAGAGAGCTTCTAGGATGGGAACCAGGAGGCTTCCACATGCCAGCACCCAGGCCCAACTCCACGTGGACAGAGCTCCTCTGTTTGGAATGTCACCCGAGGTATCATTGTCTGTGTCCTTTAATATCTTTTGTAATAAACTGGCAATCTAGTGAGTAAACTGGTTTCCTGAGTCCAGTGAGGGGCTCTAGCAAATTAATTAAACCCAATGAGGGGGTTCGTCAGAAGCACAGGTGACCACCTGGTCTTACAACTGGCTTCTGTCTTGTGGGGCAGGGCCCTTACCATGTGGAATCCGTCTCCAGGATGCTGTCTCCAGGTAGATAGTGTCAGGGTTGAGTTGAATTGTAGGACACCCAGCTGGTGTGAATAGTACAGCAGTTCGGACTGAGCGGATGTGGACAGGCAGAAGGGACACAAACTGAAAACACTCTACCTGTCTTTCTGGCTCTCAGTGCTTCAAGTATGTCAGCAGCAGCCATTTCTCCCAGGACATTGTTTCCAAGGTCAAGTTCCCTTAAGTGGGCAGAGTATTTGATCAGGCTGATCAAAGAAAATGACAAAACAAAATGGCGTTGTTCCAAGCATGGTTATTCAGAGAAACTCACTCCTGTTATTTTGGACTATGATCTTTCTTCTTAGGTCCTCTTCACCCTCCACCTCCAACCCCCCTTCCAATGATGATGCACTGACCCAGTTTGAAACTAGAGAAATCCTGAATCCAGTTTTTTCCAATTTAATCTCTAGTTTGGATGTCTATTCTAAGTAAGTGGGTAGGATAAGGATTTTTGGTTGCCTTAAATCTTCCATTTATTTATTTATTCATTCATTCATTCAAAAGGTATGGTATAGTATTGTCAGGGCCTCCCAGTCTTATAGATTTTACACAGCAGTAAAGTATTAAAAAACAAACAAACAAAAACTTGGGAGGACTGACAAAGGTCAGTTTGGCAAATTTTAGTATGTCAAATAAATAACAACTCTCACCTAGCAACACTATAAAAGAACAAATATTTTACATGAAATTAGGAAGGCCATAGTCTTGAAATAAAGGATAGTTTTTTTTTTACAAACAAACATGTTTTTATTGATTTTTAGAGAGAGGGAAAGGACGAGATAGAAACATAGATCAGTTGCCTCTTGCACGCCCCCTCCTGGGGATGGAGCCTGCAACCTGGAGATGTGCCCTGACTGGTAATCAAACCAGTGACCTCTTGGTGCATGGATCAACGCTCAATCCACTGAGCCACACCAGCTGGGCTAAAGGGTAGCTTTTTAAATCAAGTTTAGTTTCATGAAAAATGAACACTCTGCCTGTCTTTATTTTTCCAATTTCATTGAGGATTATTGAGCCAACTTGTCTTTGGGAATTTCTGGCATCATGAATGGACATGGAATCTGGGTGAAGGCCTGGGTTACTGGGCAGCTTCTATTTTTTGTCAATCATGTGATCATGAGCAGGCCATGTGCCTCTTCAGCCTCACTTTGCTCATCTCTAAAATTGGCCTGAAAAGGGCTATTCTGTCTATTTCATAACGTTGTGGTGAAAACATAATGCAGCAGTTCCTATGAAAGCATCTTGCAAAATGCAATAGCAAGAATGCTATTATAACGAGTGCATACTTACTACATGCATATTATGTACCTAACATTGCAGGGATAAAAAGGAATTTAACACATGGCCTCTACTCTTGAAAGAAACTGAATAAAACAATTTTGAGTTTTTACCGTGTGCGGGGATATGAAATTTCAGTTAGGGTCAATAAGTGAGTACAAGGCCATACTTTTGCTCTCTGTACACACTTTCTATGATTCTCAGCCAGAATTCAAGGCCAGGGCTGAGTGATCCCGCCAGACTTTCCCTCTTGAAGGTCTTGCTCCCAAGGATACAGTCTGTCTAATCAGGACTTGACCAACTTTGGGTTTCTGAATGGCCTGATTGTGTCCAATTGCTTCATACAAGCTGGGCAAGAACAGGCTTGCTTCAAGGAGGAAGCAGGGATGCACAGAAGGAGGGTGGAGAGCATTGAAGACAAACTTTATAACGCCACAGTTCTGCATCTAGGTCTGATTTCAGAGGCCCTGGGTTTAACCACTACTCCACACAATCTCATGTCAGCTGTGGTTTTATAGAGCATTCACTATGCATCAGATGTGATCATGGCCACCCACATGCCTACGCCCTGTGCCTGGCACAAAGGGCCTTCCCAGGGTATGAGTGCGGCTGAATCCAGCCCAGCTCTGCTGGCCAAGTCCTGGGCCCTGAAACATAGATCTGGGAGGGTAACTTCCTCGGACTCACTGGCAGGAGGTGGTGCCTCTTTTCATTCATCTGCCCAGAGGGGTCCTTTTTTCCAATTTGTATTACGGTGCTAGCTGGTGCAGTAGGCACTGTCTTTAGCAGCCTACATACACAATCCCATTCAACCGTAACACAGTCTCTTGAGTTAGATAATATTATCCCCATTTTTACAAATGAGGAAACAGATACAGGGTAGCTACTTCACTTGCCTAAGCTTATACTGCTAGGAAAGCGTGGAGCGAGAGTGTGAGCCAGGCAGTCTGCTCCAGAAGAACCATGAAGTATGATTCAAATATGCCAAGAAAGTGTTCTAATCCCCAGTGTTCCTCAGTTATTATGCTTTCAAAATGAAAGTGCTCTGCTATTTCCATCCTAAAATTCTTAATATTGAATAAAGGCCCATGAGTTTGCATTTGCACTGGGTCCCCACAAATTCTTTTTTTTAAAAAAACATATTTTTATTGATTTCAGAGAGGAAGGGAGAGGGAGAGAGAGCTAGAAACATCAATGATTAGAGAGAATCATGGATTGGCTGCCTCCTGCATGTCCCACGCTGGGGATCAAGCCCGCAACCCAGGCACATGCCTTGACTGGGAATCGAACCGTGACCTCCTTGTTCGTAGGTCAAAGCTCAACCACGGAGCCCTGCCGGCCAGACTGGGTCCCCACCAATCTGCAGCCCGTTCTGTTGTCATCTGCAGGGTGGCAGAGCAGAAAGCAAAATGACAGTCCGCTATGCCACTTCTGTGAGTGTAGGCCTTCCCTTAGGATCTCAGCCCGAGACCAAGATGGGCTACTGCTTCCCTCCCAGAGAGGGAAAACCTCACTTACACTGTTAGCAACTTGCAGGTAGATAACTCTCCCCATGACTTATCCCAAGCACTAGTTTTGGGAGATGAACAAATAAAATCTCTCAATGTTCTACTCACCGTGTTAAGATCTGAGTGAATTCCAACAAACTGTTTTCTCCATCTTTTCCTTTTCCATCTATGCCATTATCTGCCAAATACAATTTCACTAACCAAGGACCAGCTTCAGTCAAACCTTTAATTTTTTTCTTGATTCCTACGAGAAAATTTGTGTTGTATTATTTTACACAATCGTTCCCCCGTTTACCACAGGTTTTAAAAAACCGTACAGACTTATTTCACTCCTGTGGGTAGATGCATTTTGTAATACAATTAAGGAAATATAAGTAATTTAAGAATTCGTTTTAAAAAAACACTCAGTACATCCTTTGTTCTTCACAACAGCAAGCTCCAAATTGCTCTGAATGAAAGGAAATTTCATTGAAGACTGAGATTGCTTCCTTTACTTTTGCTAAAGAAGAAAATCAAGGTTTCTGGATTTTCTTGATAGAAGGATGAGTTGTCCGCAGATGCTGGGGAAGTGAGAGCTCTTACACGGGGTTCGGTCTTTTAAAAGAGCCTGTAAAGTTGTCACATTTTCTTTGCTCTCGAGAAGGACAAATTCAAAGGCAAAAGAACCATTCTGCCTTCACAGACTGCATGACTGAGGCCAGTGGTTCTAGAGCAGCCGTGGGCAAACTACGGCCCGCGGGCCGGATCCGGCCAGTTTGAAATGAATAAAACTAAAAAAAAAGACCGTACCCTTTTATGTAATGATGTTTACTTTGAATTTATATTAGTTCACACAAACACTCCATCCATGCTTTTGTTCCGGCCCTCCGGTCCAGTTTAAGAACCCATTGTGGCCCTCGAGTCAAAAAGTTTGCCCACCCCTGTTCTAGAGTCTGGTCCACCTTTGTGTAAGGTGTCCGTGTAAGGTGTCCCCCCTTTTGCCACGGGCTTCCTGAGGATCAGACACGTATTGCTGACAACTGCACGTGTTCCCTGGAAGCCACCCCATAGATCCAATATGAACCCTCCCAACTCTGTGCTTCCCGCCACTTGCTCTTTGGTTAATTGCCAAGATCCCCCCTTTGTTCCTGACTTCAGAATCTTCCTTTCCACCCTCACTGAACCCAATACCAGGTGTTGTCAGTTCTCCTCCTAAATACATGTAGACTCCTATCTGTCCAACTCTGCAGCCTCAGCTCTGTGCTTTATCCTCTCTTCCCTGCACTGTTGTAAAATTCTCCACACTCATCTCCCATGATGTCACTGCCTTGCTTCGAAAGCACTGTGGCTCTTCCTTCGCGCACAGGAGAAAGTCTAACTCTTCAAGGGCATTCACGGCTTTGGCCCTGTGGGCCCACCGGCCTTTTCAGCAACATCCCTGTCATTCTCCTCATGACCACTCTGCGGCGGGTGCCACGCCTCCCACATGCCCAGCCCTCCCCACTCGACGCACTCTCACCTCGGACCTTTTATCTGGTGGCTCCCTTTGCCCAGAATGCCCTCTCTTTTCCAGCTGATGAACCTTTTCTCATTCCTCCCAGAGACAGCTCTTTTTCCTACGTGGACCAGCATCCAAAGGTTAAGTATAAATTTTCATGGAACCGGAAGTTCCCCGGAGAAGATTCCTCAGCTCGCCCTTCTTTCTCTGGCCTCTTCTGGGACTGCCAGGATAGGTGGGCATCAGATTGTTTTGCTTAATGACTCCTCAAATGCTCATCTGTGGATGCCAGGTCCCGGTAGGATCTTCTTCTTGAGGTAGATTTTTTTTTAAAGCTTGTTAAAAATAGCTCAACCCCCCCCCCCCCCGCCGCCGCCCCCGCCCTATCAATAAGAAGCATGTGTGATTGCCTGTGTAATTACCAGCAATTTATAAACCAGAACATAATTTTGCATTTGCCTGATTGCAGGTCTTAAGGAAGCAAAGTATAATTAGTGTTGGTTGATTCACACCTCAGACCTTGGAACCTGTCCACAAAGGTTTCCACCGTTTGGTATCACCCCAGGATAAAATCCCAAGTAATTTCAGGGTTATGACCAGTAACTTCCTGGTTTGGAACCAATAAAGTTCTTTTGAAGATTACATCTTGACTTTGGAACTTGACCTTTGAATTCCTTAATGCTGTTGGCATGCCTATGGACTGTGGCTATGATAGAAGCAGTAATGCCTTATTTGGGGGGAAGTGAATTTGCCACATGGGTGGCATTGGTACTCTAGTAAATGTCTAACAATCCCAGGCTGTGGACTGACCGTTTTATGGTTGGATTTTGCTTCCCAGTCCTAAATCCTTAAGAAGGAAGACAACTCTGAGAGCTATGGTGTGGGGCTTGGGCTGGGAAGCAGAGCAGGCGAAGGTGATGGGGCACCCCTGGGTCTTCCAGGAACGTTTGGGGCCTGGGGTGACATGGCAGGACTGGCTGAATGGGGCTCAGGGAAGATAACTGCAGATGATTGTTCCTGATGACCTTGCAGTGACTTCCAGTCCTGAGCCATCTTCTGGCTCTTTATGGGCTGATGGGCCTGTGACTAGGCATAGGCCAAGCCAACGTCACTCACTTGAGTGCTGACACCCTCCAGGCCCAGGGTCCCCAATTCTCATAGAGAGCCCATGGGGCTCAGAGGTGGGCCAGATGGAGTCTAGAAGAGACAGAGAAGCCAGAACAGAAATGGGCCTGGGCCCTGTTTGTTCTGTGGTTGCCATGACAGAGAAAAGGCATCTAGGAGCTTCACTCTGCCTCTGATTTTCTTCACTGAGCAGAAGAAATAAAAAAATAGGCAATCTGATTTTCTTCCACGGTTGAAGCAGTTGTGGTTCTCAAAGTTAAGCCCTGGACTAAGAGCATCAGCATCACGTGGGAACTTGATAGAAAAGCAAATTCTCGAGCCTTAACTCTGAGCTACTGGTTCAGACCTTGATACACAGGGAGAAATCTGTGTTCAGTGGTGCTTTGAGGCAGGACTGACTTGGACAAACAGACGTTTAACTTCTAGAAGCATAGAAATGAATTCCTTGCCTCTTCTAATAACGTATAAATGGCTGCTAAATGTAACGCTGTTGAGTTCTTGTAATTTTGCATTTGGAGGGGACTTATAAAAGGTGTCAGGCTTCTGTGAGTGCTGTGAGTTCATCCTTCCAAGCAGCAGGCCCCAAGCCTGCTGCCCACAAAGGAGGAGCATAAAAATAGTTTGTCTGTTTCCAGTTGGGGCCAAATGGAAACCATCTGGACTCCTTGCCCAGGAGGCTGATGTGTAACAGTTCAAGCTGACCCTTTATTTTGAAACAAGTAGAACTCTTCTACCAAAGGCCAAACCCACCCCCAACCAAAGACCTTATGACTTCAAAAGAATCTATCCCATGTGAGGAGCTGTGTTTACATTTGCTTTGCATGAAAATGGTCTGCTCTTATGAGAAACTGTAAAATAAATATATACTCAATACAAGTTGTTTCTATTGATTTGAGGCACAGGATCCCTTGGGTGACAAAAGACTTTAATGGCTCCCATTGTCTACTGGGTTAAGTCCAACTCTTCACCTGACATGTGAGGGCCTCTTTCATGTGCCCACACCTCCGCCAGGTCACCTCCCCATCCTCTTGTGCCAGCTGCACTGGGCTTGGGGCTTGCCTTGAAAAGGCCTGCCTGCCTCACTAAGGTCTTTCCTCACGTAAGTCCTTTCTTTCTTTCCGCATCAGGTCGGTTCTTGGCTCATTCATAGAAACTTCTCTCCAGTTCTGTACCTGGGGAAGAAGGCCCTTCTCTAAACCCAGGTTCCACGTTTGGCCCTTGGCAGATGCTGCTTTTTGTTGTTGTTTCCTAGGTGTGTATCCTGCTTCTAAACTACACGCTGAGTTGAATTTTGTCTCCTCCCAAAGTCCTAACCCCCAGTTCATCAGCATGTGACCTTATTTGGAAACAGGGTCATGGCAGATATACTTAATCTAAGTCATATCTAGAGTAGAGCAGAGTGGGCCCTAATCCAATGTGACTGGTGTCCTTATAAAAGGGGGACATTTGGACACAGACACACACAAAAGGAGAATGCTAAGGCAAAGACTGGGGTGATTTCAAGCCAAGGATACCAAAGGTTGCCAGCAAAGCTCCAGAAGCTATGAGAGGCCTGGACCCCATTCTCCCTTAGACCCTCCGGGAGGAACCAACCCTGCCAACATCTTGATCTTGACTTCCAGGCTCCAGAACTGTGAGACGTGTGTCTCTATTATTTAAGCCACCTGGTCTCTGGCAGCCCTAGGAAACTAATATACCCCTGAGAGGCAGGAGCACACGTGTGCCCCACCCAGAGCTGGCACATGATAACCATCTTCAGTTGAGGCAGCTACAAGGACCAGAAGGTAAGCTCCTTGGGACAGGAACCAGGGACACCCCTTACTGCATCCCTCACACACCAGCCCAGATGGCCTGGAGGACAGTTTCTTTCATCATTGTGACTGAAAGAGTGACCAGAGGCAGCCAGCAGTTCTTCAAGGCCTCTAACCTCTTGAATTTTTCCACTTGGAGTAATTACTGTAGCAGTAGGTGCTCACAGCCCATGAAAAGAGGAAGTGATTTCATGAAGGAAGTGAGAGGAATAACTGAAACAACAACAAAAATACCTTTTTTTCTCTTCTTCTTCCCTGAAGTAGCTTTCACAGTTCCAGATGACTTGGTCATCTGGTTCAAAGTTGAACTTTCTCTCTGACTGGCTGTATGGGGGGAAAAAAAGATTAAAAAAGAAAGCCTGTTCAAAGATGCACGGATGGGTTTTTGACACACTTAGATATTGGCTCTTGCCTTCACTTTACGAACAATTTGGGCAGAGATATTTCTTAGAAGAGAGAATTATCCCACCCATTGTCAAAATTGCATTCACTTCAGTTCAGTCCTGTCTTTTTCATATTTATTTCCTCAAAGACCTGAGGGGAACAAGCAACCAAGTAGGGTGCCGAGAATTTTCCTGCAAGGCCTCCCCTAGATTCTTCACATCCCACAGCTGCCCTCTGTAAAACAGCTCCAAATCTCTGGGATTTGTAAGAATGTAGCAGAGAGGAACATATTTTTTGAAATATTTTATAAAAAATATTAGTGCATTATCTCTCTGGAGTCATATCAACCTTCTTTTTTTTTTTTTAGATTTTAAAATATTTTATGGTTATATATCTTAACAGATGCCTATGACCTGAATGTTCACCTCAGGCTAAAGGTAATTAGAAAGACTCTCCTAGAGTACAGACCCTTGACCAGAATCGAACCTGGGACCCTTGAGTCCGCAGGCCGACGCTCTATCCACTGAGCCAAAGCGCTCAGGGTTCACCCTTCTTTTTCTGTCTCTTGCACCCTACACCCCATCCATCAGGAAATGGTACCGATGTAGAAGCTGACCTCTCTCTACTACCCTCGTCTCACCTGGGTAGGCACCCCTTACCTGGTTGACAACAGCCTCCCAAAAGGACGCCCTGCCCCTGCCCACCCAGACAGTTTGCCACACAGATGGAGGGGTCCCTCTCAAACCTAAATCCTAACACTCTGCTCCCTCCTAGCTAACAAGGCCCTTGACTCCGGGTCCCTGTTACCACCCCGCTCGCCCCTTGCTGTTCCTTGGGGCCTTGGTGCAGGCCATTCCCTGTGTCTGGAATGCTTTCCCCATTTATCCGCAGGCTCACTCCCTCACTTCTACTGTCTGTACACAAATGCTACCTTTCCTAGGAGACCTACACTCAACCATCTGTTTGAAATCACACCCCACCCATCCTCCTTCCCCAGACTCCCACGCTTGCCTATCTCGCTTGACGTTTTATTTTTTCATGGCAGTTATCACCTTCCAACAAACTGTGGCACAGACATTTGTTCTGCCTTTTAGGAACTGCCTGGCTCCCACCCACCTGCACACAGACACCCATGCAGCACACGCACGGCAAATGCGTTCCCAGCCTCTCCTCTGGGGCAGGCTCTCTGCTTCATGCACTAATGTCTCCCAAGCACCAGTACTTGGCATACACAAGGAGGGACACGATTGAGCACAGACACATTGGGGAAGGAAGGAAGGAAGGAAGGAAGGGAGGGAGGGAGGGAGGGAGGGAGGGAGGGAGGAAAGAAGGAAGGAAGGAAGGAAGGAAGGAAGGAAGGAAGGAAGGAAGGAAGGAAGGAAGGAAGGAAGGAAGGAAGGAAGGAAAGAAGGAAGGGGCATCATTACTAAGATTACATATTACACATTATGACAAGTAATTAAGAAAACAAACTGGTCTTTGGATAGTGAGGCAGTCATGCCTCTTTGTCAGCAACAGAAATCAACTGTGCCTGACTCTGGTGGGAAGGAGAAGTTACTAGGAGGCCTGGGTGTAAGTAGCTCACAGAAGAGGAGAGAAAGCCAAACATTTGGGCCTTACAAAGTGGTGGCCTCAAAACATTATTGCTCTCATAGCACCCAAGGGGAATATTGAAAAGCTACCTGGTACATTTTAAGGTTGGAATTTAAACTTGGTCATCAGAAGTTTTAAAATTTCAAAGGGTGAGATTTCTAGCATCTGTCTTCAGATGCTAGACAGATTTCTGTCTTCATTGATGTTTCTCTCTCTCTCTCTCCCTCTCCCTTCCTCTCTGAAATCAATAAAAAAAAAATTTTTTTTTAAATCCCAAACAACCGCCCTGGCTGGATAGCTCAGTTGGTTGGAGCATCCTCTTGATGTGTCAAGGTTCCCAATCAGGGCCCATACCTAGGTTGTGGTTCAATTCTAGTCAGTGTGTACGGGAGGCAAATGATCGATGTTGCTCTTTCTCTATCCCTTCCCCTCTATCAAATCAATCAATCAATCAATCAATCAATAAATCCCAAACAACTCAAAACATGAGCAAATTCTTCTTTAGTGATTTAAAATTTTACATTATTCTTTTCTTCTTGTGCTTTCGTTTGTATTCACATTCTACTTATTTCACAGAATTTTATATGTGAAAGTCTTCTATAGCACATCCTGTAACACTTCTCCATAATAAAAATGCTACATTTACAAAAATTGAAATTTTAAAAATGTCTGGGATCATAAGGCTCTAAAGTATTAAAAATGTCTTCTGCAATTATTAATCAATTTTTAGAAGCATATGATTGATTAATATAACAAAATGTATTTTATACATTTTGATAAATCCTAATTAAATACAAACATAAAATTTTATTGAATGCCTGTCAATGAGGTAGATGGTGCTGTTTTATATATTTGTCTTTATAATTAACTAGAGGCCCAGGACACGAAATCATGCAAGGGTAGGGTCCTTAGGCCTGGCTGGCAATCAGGGCCAATTGGGGCCTTCCTTCATTCCACGCTGCCCCCTGGTGGTCAGTGCACATCATAACGAGCAATCGAACTCCCAGTCTCCTGGTCAAACTCCTGAGAGGACACTTTGCATATTAGTCTTTTATATATATAGCAAAAGATTCATGTATTCACCAAAGAATATTAATGCTAAAATGAGGCAGACACCCACATCAGTGCTATTTCTATTTTTCATTGTGATAATTGTAAATGCTGGGAAATCTTGTTCATACAGATGGAAGCGGAGTAGGGTTGCCAGATGTAATCTTCCTTACCCACCCCTTCCCTGCCCCAAATACAGGACACCCAGTTCAATTTAAATGTCAGAGAAATAAAGAATAATTATTTTAGTTACTATATCCCAAACATTGCATGGGACATACTTATAATAAATTATTTGTTTTTTTAAATCTATAATTCAAATTTAGCTGGGAAATTCTAGAAGGATTTTTATCATAGCAATATAATTCAATTCTGTGAACACCTGAGTTATAGGCTAAAAATCACATATGGTCGATTGAAAAAAAGGTTTTTAATAACTTGTCAGTTGATAGTGATTATGCCCTCCTCAAATTACATTAAAAGCAAAAATTGGAAGCCACCCAATGTGTAAACAGTGGTTTGCCACTGATCTATTAGAGTCACTCACTTCCTTAACACTTACATTAATAGTTTGAATTGTGTCTGTTGTTGCTCCCTGCGGAAGACGCTCTGCTCAGATACTGGATGGGAGGGAACTGTGCCTTTCTTTGGCAAAGTAAAATGATGATGGTGACCAAGGAAATTAATCACAGGTATCGGATCCTGGAAGTTGAGAATCTGGACATTAAAAGAAATCATCCACACCTTCTCAAACTCACCCTACTGGAAGTTCCCAGGTATCCCGTGTCCTAGTGCACTGGGGGTGCTATGACAAGATCCCGTAGACTGGTGGCTTAGCAACAACAAACATTTCCTCCTCACGGTCTCCCAGCACCGGCAGATTCAGTGTCCGGTGAGAGCTTGCTTCCCGGTTCACAGGCAGCTGTGTTCTCGCTATAACCTCACATGGCAGAAGGGGGAGGGAGCTCTCTGGGGTCTCTTTTATAAGGACATGAATCCCATTCAGGAGGGCTCTGCTCTCATGACCTTAGCACCTCCCCAAAGCTCCACCTCCTAATACCATCATCTTGAGAATCAGGATTTCAACATGTGAATTTTGGGTGGACACAACAGTATGTAACACCTTTGTTTCAAGACAAGGGTTGTAAGGGACCAGAACCGGGGCAGCTCCGGGGGTCTGGCAGGATGAGCTAAAGCACAGGTTGTTGTTGGTGGGGTACCAGGTTCCTTGGCTCAAGAATCACATTTTAGGGTGGCAAAGTCCAGCTGGTGGAACTTGGGTCCCATACCCACTGTGGTCAGGAGAGATGGCTGGTAATAGACACAATCATTTCTTGCCCCCCCCCTTTTCCATTTATGGCTAATCCTGTTGGCAAAGAAGTAAAATCAAGATGGGCAAACTAATTTGCCTGAGTGGAGGTGTATTAATGCAGCTCTCAAGTAGAAGGCACTTTTACTCAGTGCTGCTGTGTACGTTTCTGCTATGGACAGAAAGTTTGAGTCCTCTCAGAATTCATATGTTTAATGCCCAGATGGCTGTATTTGGAGATGGGGCTAAGGGGGAGTAAAAGACTTTCTTCTACTCTCAACGTCCTTTTGGCTGGTCTAATAATCAAATAGACATGAGACAAATTAGCAAGAGAAAATAACCAAATTTAATCACATACGTATGTATAGGAACCCCACATACATGAGGGGTTCAAAGACAGAAAGGAATAATGAGATCTGTATGACACTCTGAGCTAAGGATCACCTTGAGGCTTCAGAGGGAAGGAAGGTCATTGCAGGACAAGAAGAAGAGCAGATGTTCAGTAATTAGTCGTTTGTCCTGCCCTAGAGATAGGTCAAACAAAGGTTATCTCTAAAAATCTCTTATTTTGGGCAAGGCCCCTAATTCAAATTCTTCTAGGTAGTTAAGATGGGGTAGAAGTTTCTTTTGAGTCTACAATGTCTTGGTGGCCTTTGGTTCAAAACAATTTACATACCAGATACATCTTGGGGTGACTCATTCTGAACCCCCACTGTCCTCTTAGGACAGGGATGGAAACCCTGTTTCTGCCAAGGGCCATTTGGGTATTTATAACATCATTGGCAGGCCATTCTTAATTGTCAACTTAAAAATTAGCCTGCCCTATTTGGTCAAACATTTACTTAACTCACCCCTAATGCCTCGGCAGGGCCAGACCAAATGATTTTGTGGGCCTTGTACGGCCTGCTGGTCGGAGGTTCCCCACCCCTATCTTAGGAAGTAATTAAGGTTTAAATGAGGTCGTAAAGGTGGGTCCCTGATCAGATGGAATTAGTGTCCTTATTGGAGAGATACCAGAGAGTGCTGCGTGTGTGCATGTGCATGTGTGTGCGTGCACATGTGTGCATGTGCGTGTATGTGCACACGCATGTGTGTGTGTACATAGAAAGGCCATGTGAGGACACAGCAAGAGGGCGGCCAGCTGTAAGCCAGGAAGAGAGCTCTTAATAGGAACTGAATCAGCTGGCACGTTGAGCTGGGACTGGCAGCCTCCTGAGCTGTGAGAAAGTAAGTGTGTTCTTTAACCACCCGCCTGTGGTATTTTGTTATGGCAGCCGAGCAGACTGACACAGTTACCCAGAAGAATGCAGACGAGCTGAAATGCACTGGATGCACTAAACAAAAATTAAGGTTCTAGTGAATGTCAATGTTAGAGCCTGTCACAGTCAGCCTTAGAGGAAGAGAAGGACCTAGACGTGTACTTGGGGTGGGTTTTGTTGTTGCGACTGCTAAGATCCTGAGTAATGAGAGGAACTTACAAGAGGTTCTGTGTGCCGACCACTGACCTCAGGGCACGGCTCAGCGGGAGCGGTGTGCACCCTGTCCAGGCTGCCCTGAAAAATGACAGGGCAGGCGCTCTCTGTGGTCAGCTCTGACCCTGGCTTTTGTGGCTCTCAGGGAAAACAAATCCAGAACCCCTAAGACTAAGCCTTAATGCCCCTTTCAGCAGAAAACCAGTTGGAACAACCAGAATAGATCTTCACATTTCTTCCCTGCATCCTGTCACGTAAAAAAAAATCCTTACTAAAGGATATGTTTCTATATATACATTAGAGGCCCAATGCACGAAATTCATGCAAGAGTAGGCCTTCCTTCCCCCGGTTGCCGGCACCGGCTTCCCTCTGGCACCCAGGACTCAGGCTTCCCTTGCAGCCCTGGCTTCGTCTGAAAGGTCATCCGGAAGGACATCCGGTCTCATAAGCATA